ACATACGTTAGTATGTACATCCATCCATATATACATGCATTCATAAATACACACACATATGCATACATCCAACTATGAATTTATCCATCCATTCATCCACACACAAGCGTACATATATCCCTGCATCCATCCATGCTTCCGTCAATCGATACTGCGATCCATCCCTCTATAGATCTATACATACATATGTACATCCACCTATCCATCCATCCGTTCAAATATGCACACAGGCATGCATAATCTCATACATGAATCCATGCATCTATACGTCTATCCATAACTACATATGTATAGCATTCATACCTCGATCCATCTATCCATCCTTCATCAAACTTTGATACACACCCTTGCTCCTGCTCTACATCTTCCGTTTCGTCATGCGACGTCTGCTTTATACCGCTTTACCTTAAGTCAGAAGCGCCCAGTTACCTGTAGAATAAAGAGGAAGAATCTTGCTGGGAACGTTCAGTCTGGCGTAAACCACTCCGGCCCGGTTTCTCGCCGAGTCGAGGCAGCAGACCCCTTTTATCCGATCTGCCGACGGCCTTGGTGGCACTGGCCGGGTCTGTTGCCAGCCATGCCAGACGGGACAAACGTTCGTCTGTCGGGTCGTTGTGCCCAGACGCTTTGATGGCCCTCGACGGCCTCGAATCCGCAGTCGCAAAGTCGAGGGCTCCTGCAAAACGGGGTTCTTGATCCAGTCTGATTTCAGTATGGCCTGAGTCTCCGGTATCGTCTGGCCAGGTCGCAGTGTCCCCTCGAAGAGGACGAAGAAACTGGCTTGTCGTTCCGCTTGTCGCTGGGGCGATTGGCGACGGTTGCGAGGCCGAAGGCAACAGCATCGACGCATGCCCGGTTCGGTCGAGGGATGTGTTTGAGGCCTTCGCCGATTCGCCGGTTCCAGAAGCAGGCAGCCACGTGATATTGTAGACGAGAGGATACAATGAAACTAGTCGTTGTCTTAGATTCTTTGGCGGCGGTGGTGGCGGCGGCGGAGTGGCTGAAGTGTGAGCTGATTGGGAAAAGTCAAGAATTTGTGGGAATCAAATCTCTAATTCAACGGAAAAATTTTGTCTCAATCTCGTATTCCCTCGAATGGAAATTTTTTTGGGCATTCTTGTCCCTTTCAAAGACATTTCCGTCCATAAATTACAAAAGTGTGCCCGCATTTCTGAAGACCAAGATGGTGTGGCCTCTGTTCTGGAAGTGGCCTATTTTCGCTCTGCGAAAGCAATTTTACCTGGCTTTTCGCAATTTCACCTTGTCCTCATGGTGATCGTCCAAAAAACACACTATGTCCAAACTTCTCTGTCACACTAGGCGTGCTATGTTCAAGCGACAGTGTCAGGTTGTCATGACGACTATGGCATAGGAGTTGGGATAATGTGAGTTCAGTGAGTTTGCAAAGAACGAGGTCGAGTTACGTAGTTTACACAAAGGCGAATTATGAACAAGCTAGCAGAATGGCGATTTGCAAATGTCATCTAGGCGGGCTTTAGCCGATAAACTGACTACTGACAAACTACTCACTTCTGAGGTCTCACGCCCGGATTGGCTGTAATAAGACTGCTAACAACGAGTCTGTCTGTTGCCATGCCAGCATTTATTGAGTGGAAGAATAGTGATGAGGATGATGTTGATTTAATGTAACTCGAGTTTTAATTTCAAAGGCAAATTCGCCTCAAGTAGATTTGTGTGTTGGCGTGATAACCATGACGTGAACACATTTCCTCCTATTTGGGTTCTTCATGTGGTGACATGTAAAGTCGCGGCGGGACATACAAAAGCTCCGCAGGACGGTGAGCCGAGGACTTGTTCGTACAATCCAAAGATCTAAAAGTCAGAGCAATCCTCATTTGGGTTCTGATGGGACCAAGTAACTAATTATTTCCTGCGAGTTGCACTGAGCCTTGCAAAGCCAACTTTGCTTGATATGATCCATTTGTTTTCGAAACTTTCATTTCGTACGAAAGTACATCGTGAAGAGGTCTGTAGGTCGATCTCATCAAAGGAAAAAGACTTATTTCCTTTGTTATGTAAGCCTCTTGTTTAAACACGTCCATGAGGTATCTCTTTTCCGTTCGAGATAAAGCGGGCTGAGGTTCCGTCCATCGTGTCAGTTGACGTAAATCACCAGAGATGGAGCTCATCCTTTCAAAAGCTTCAAGCAAGCTCAATATCAAAAAGATTAACCTACATACTATAAATTCTAAAAACGAAAACGAAAAATATATAAATATAAGTATGAGATGAATTCATCCTATTTTGCTTAAGGTGATGAAGGACTGGTAGTAGAATTTTCCCACAATGAAATGAGAAGAGCTGACGTTTTCATTGAA